AATAGAAAGGAAAGTGTAGTACAACTGTTCTGAGGGAATTTCGAAGATCATTATATTGTGTGGAAAAAATGTATAGCAGCACTCTGGGCTTAGATAACACTGTTTCTGCAGAGATGTTGTAATCCAGGTCAGTCTGTGTTCCTGGAATTTGCTGTGGGCTGGTCAGAGCCTGACTGAGGAATTCTGTGGCCCAGTTTGTCTGTATATCCCCAAAGACAGGGTCTTCTGCAATGCCTCAGTTACCTGTGCTTTATGAGAACAGCCAATAAAGATATCTTTGCGATGTGATGGTACTTGAAGGTGCATAGAGAAGTCTCTTTTCTTTTTTCTTTTACTAGAGTGTGTGTGGAAGCTTAACTTTTTTTTTTTTTTTGACTGGCCTGGGTCTTCATTGCTTTGTGCAGGCTTTCTCTAGTTGCAGCATATGGGCTCTAAGGCACATGGGCTTCAGTAGTTACAGCTCACAGGCCCAAGAGTACTGGGGCTTCAGCACAGTTCTTGGGCTCTAGAGCATTGGCTCAGTAGTTGTGGCTCACATGCTTAGCTGATCTGCAGGATGTATAATCTTCCCAGACTGGGGATCGAACCCATGTTCCCTGTAGGGGCAGGCAGATTCATATCCACTGCACCACCAGAGAAGTCCCAGAAGTCTTTTTTTTCCCCTCAATAACTCCTACTACCAGTTTGCTGAAACTAAAAAACTCCTTCCACCAGCTTACTAAACCTAAAAAATTCTACAGTTTTAAACACATTCTTTAGACTTAGTAAAGGCCCTTTACTCCTATGGGAATAAAAATAGGTGATATAGAATATGTATATCTCAATGATTATTTTTAAAACCAAGTTATTTTCCAGGTGTTGAAATAATAAAGACACATCATAAGTGGTACATGATACCACTAAGAAGAAAGAGTAAGCAATAATCCTTTCCTGAATGAATATGTGAAGGAATGAAAGAATAAATTAGCATGAATTGAGCACTGAAATGATTTCAGTGTTGCCCAGAGCATGCTAACTGAATGTACAGTTGTGGCTTAACATAAATTTTGTACCCAGCTCAATGCCTGAAGTGAAATCACTATTTAGATATTTATTGAATAAATAGATGAATCGGTGGGAATGGAATAAATTAGAAAGTAAGATTAATGATAAGAAATGATAAGTAGACTCTGGAGGTCGGGTTCATTTACCAAAAACTGTGTTGAACATATTCAATCCATAAATATATGCTTGCTCCATGGGGATAAGGGAGGCAGGCTCAAGAAAGAGGGTAGATATTGTATAGTTATGGCTGATTTGCATTGTTGTGTGGCAGAAACTAACATAACATTGTAAAGTTATTGTCCTCCAATTAAAAATAAATTTTAAAAATAAAATTAAAAATTTTTAAATCAAATTAAATATAAGTAAATATATGCCTGCTCCATGTTAGGAAGTATGGAAGATGGTGAGTACATATTCTTGGAAGGGAACAGACATTAATCAAGTAACCACAAATACTTACAAATGATGACATTTAGTAAAATAACCACAAATAATTACAAATGATGATAACTGCTGTCTATGAAGGAAAACTCTTCCACTTCCACAGACACTGACCAATATCATGTAGCAGGATAGAAAGACAGGGAAATTTGGGAGCTCATTTTGTATTCAGATGTGTTCCCATTAAGAAGATGCTGCTGTAGTTTCTTTTCATTTTTACAGTTACCTATAAATTCACATTTAAGAAGAAGTTATTTCTTTTAGGGATGACTGTTTTTTCTTTCAATATATTCAGTAGTGCCCTGACTACCTAGCATCTTTAGGTAGGCAAATACCTACAGTGTCAGTTTGCTATTGGTATCTGAATGATATTCGTAGATAAGCCAAGCAAGCAACTTCGAGGATGTGGGTGATGGTGCCTCACAGGCCCACAGAGAGTTGTTCCTATGACTCAAGCAACTATTTCTCAAATGTATTCCTCAAAATTTTAGCTCTAGAGAAAATAAGAAAAGGGGAATGAAAGTCTTATAAATTTAGGAAATGTTGGAGTAAACAAAATCATACACGTTTTCTTTTCTATAGGTCTTCTCAAAGCCTTTAATAGGCTGCCTTATTTTGGTAAATTTCCAAGAGAGTGTTGCTCAGAGTTGATGACCATAAGAGCCTTTTTTTTGTTTTTTTGCAGAAACCCTCTAGGGACTAGGGTCCCTTGGAACACGCTTTTGGAAATGCAGGAAATGCAAATGACCTTAATCTGGGATGGAGGCTGGAATAAGGGTGAAATAGAATCTATTAACACTGATAATCATTTTAGTAAATTCACATTTACTGCTCCTTTTGAGCAACACTCTGAAGCAACAGAACTTTAGACCCATCAATTTCATGAGGAAGATGCCCAAGTTGTGAGGGAGGCTCCAATGCAATGTTGATCCCAGAGTGTCAGCAGTGGGCACCAGGGGTGAGGCTGTGGGAAAACCCAAAGGTAGATGACAGAGATGTAAGTCAGAGAAAGACAATTATCATATGATATCACTTATATGCAGAATCTTTAAAAAATGGTACAAATGAACTTATTTACAGAATAAATAGTCTCACACACATAGAGAATGAACTTATGGTTATGGGGCAGGAAGGGAGAGATGGATAGATTGGGGGAGTTTGGGATTGACAGGAACACACTGCTATATTTAAAATAATTAACCAACAAGAACCTATGGTATAGCACAGGAAATGCTGCTCAATATTCTGTAATAACCCAAATGAAAAAAGATTTTGAAAAAGAACAGATACATGTATATATATATATCTGAATCACTTTGCTGTAACTTTGGAGTAACTATACTCCAAAAGAAAATGAAAACTAAGAAATAAAGGCTTAACTCTCCATCGTAGCCCTTAGCACTGGTATTACTCTTGTTTAGCTCTGGTTGAATGTCGATTATCATTAAGCTCAAACTTACAGACCTGTGGATGACATGAACAGGTAAAAAAGGTGAATGCATCACCGAAAGTGAGTTATTTATTCCGCCCAGATTGGCTTAGTACTTCTCTCTAAAGTTTTAAGCAGCCTGTCCTCAGATAATACAAGAGCTGGGACAAGAGTACAATATGGGTCCACATATCCTAAGTCCTGTGGCTCAGACGGTAAAGAATCTGCCTGCAATACAGGAGACCTGGGTTCGATCCATGGATTGGGAAGATCCCCTGGAGGAGGGCATGGCAACACACTCCAGTATTCTTGCCTGGAGAATCCTAACTATAAGAATCAGGTTAAATTCTGCTAGATAAAATATGTTCTGTCCTCTTATATTGATAAATATACCTTCATGACCCCTACGACATCAGGTCTGGATTTCTAATTCATGACCAGCTAAGAGTTCTGTGCTGATTCAGTGGCACAACGAGTGGACCTCTGGTTCCCCTTCCGCCCACACAGGGAGGGGTTTCCCACACAGAGGTGTGTGTGCCTGAGCTTGCACGTTGACCAGCTAAGAGTTCTGTGCTGATTCAGTGGCACAACGAGTGGACCTCTGGTTCCCCTTCCGCCCACACAGGGAGGGGTTTCCCACACAGAGGTGTGTGTGCCTGAGCTTGCACGTTGACCAGCTAAGAGTTCTGTGCTGATTCAGTGGCACAACGAGTGGACCTCTGGTTCCCCTTCCGCCCACACAGGGAGGGGTTTCCCACACAGAGGTGTGTGTGCCTGAGCTTGCACGTTGACCAGCTAAGAGTTCTGTGCTGATTCAGTGGCACAACGAGTGGACCTCTGGTTCCCCTTCCGCCCACACAGGGAGGGGTTTCCCACACAGAGGTGTGTGTGCCTGAGCTTGCACGTTGACCAGCTAAGAGTTCTGTGCTGATTCAGTGGCACAAGGAGTGGACCTCTGGTTCCCCTTCCACCCACACAGGGAGGGTTTTCCCACACAGAGGTGTGTGTGCCTGAGCTTGCACGTTGAACTCTGTCGGCACCCCCCAAACACCACTGTGGAAACCTGTATGTACCCCTCGCTGTGAGACCTGCTCTCATAATGAGACATGGAAAGAGGCCTTTATGGGCCCTGGCGGGGCACTCTGAGCTGCCTGGGCAGGAAATGTCAGGGAACTGCGCAGAGGGTACCCACTCTGGAATGCTCATGACCTTGGCCCTGACTGTTCTCACCCTGCGAGAAGGGCCAGAACTAGGCAAGTCTGAGGCAGAGCCCAAAGAGTATTTGGAATTGAGCCGCTGTGAAAAATACACGTTTTAAAAGCTGCAGTCTTGGCAGCTACGCCCCCACCCCCACCCCAGACTCTGGAAGTGAGTAAAAGAAGAAAAAGGGTATTTCTTATTTGAATTTAACTACTTCTGAAAGCCTCTGGTCAACTTTTCTTCTTGTTCTCCAAGGTAAGATTATTTCGCCTTTGGCATTAAAAGGAAACTAGATCAGTTGTGTGAAAAACCCAAAATGATGTATTTTATCAACTTCAGACTTGTCCCAAGGCTTTCTCTCACACTGTGTTAAATAATAGAAGTCTGTTTAATTGAATTCCTTTGTCTGTAGCATATGCTGGGTGACATTATGCCAGCATCTTGCTCTAAGCAGCAAAACGTTCTTCGTAAAAGCATTAAGATCCAGAGCATCTTTCTGGATATAGGGTAGGAACACAGAACTGCAGCAGCTTGAAACCACATAAAAACAGTGCCTCCAAAATGTAATTGCAAAAACACATCACAACAAACCAGGGCAGGGGGTGGGTAATATTTAGGATTCTAAAATGAACTTTAAAAAAAAAAAGAGGGGAGAGGAAAGAATATAAGAATGGAGGGAGGAAAGCATTTGTGGCACAAATCTATCTATAGAATTCAACTCTATAATGTTTTGCATGTCCTAACATTCCACCCATAGGCTAATCTATATGTTTATTTCCCCTTGACAGCCACCATCCTGTAGAGATGGGGTTATTAATGGATGTATTGTGGACTGAGGCAGTTAACCACGTCTGCAGTAACACATGATTGTGTGTTTCACCCCAAGGATCCTGGAGCTTCAGCAAAATGGCGACATGGACATTCTGAAGCACAAGTGGTGGCCCAAGAACGGTCAGTGTGACCTGTACTCCTCCGTGGACACAAAGCAGAAAGGAGGCGCCCTGGACATCAAGAGCTTTGCAGGGGTTTTTTGTATCCTGGCTGCTGGCATTGTCCTCTCCTGCTTTATAGCCATGCTGGAGACGTGGTGGAACAAGAGGAAAGGCTCCCGTGTTCCATCGAAAGAGGTACTTGCTTGAAAGCTTCAGCACTTTGTTGAGCAAACACATGGGCTGTGTTTCCAGGGAGGGTCATCACAGGGAAGGGGATGGTGGTGGGGGGTGGGATTTGTCTCTTCTTTCCTTGAAGAATGAAAATAAACGTATGAAATGTAAAAATTGGTAAGATCAATACCAATTTGCATTTTTAAGACACCCCAGATCCATGAAGAGGAAACGATAGCATTTCAAAGACTGACAGTTTCATGAGCCATAATGGGCCTTGAAATTCTCCCGAATCTTAGGATAGACTAGGTCTATGATTTTTCTAAAGGCTGTGATTCCCTTGACCATTTAACTAAGACACTTATTATTTTATTTCAAGTAGCTGTTTAACTTATAGGTAAATTACTAGTGTCTCTGAGATTCGGCCTAAGAAATGCAGTGTTACAGTAAAATAATTAGTTTTCTCTTCACTGCCAGAGACTGCATCCCTCTGTCTGCATGTAGACCTAGAAAAGTGATCATGTGTTTTCAGCTCTTTGATGACTCTAAGCTTAACAAATCCATGGAATCATCTAGAATTCCATTTTTCATCTTTCCTCCTGGATCAGCTTAACTCCAGGGCCATATTAAAATTTTTCCAGAGATTTGAAAGAATAATTTCAGAGTTACATATATCTTTTAAAGTGCCCTGTGCTTTATTTTCATCCAAAAAAAAAAAAAAAGTGGGATTTATAAATTTTCAGAGACTATCTGAACTTAAACTACTTGATTTATTTATATTACTTCCACTGGATCAAAAGGTGAAAAAAAATTTTAATAATGAACTCATATTCACTAAAGCTTCACAAATTGAAATTTAAAAAAATCTGAATTTGCTGAATAATTTGATTTGCTGCATAGTTTCAAAGAAAGACGGTTTTAAACTTTCTGTAACTAGACCTTGGCTAACTAATGCCTCAGTAAATCCTAAGAGGATCTGCTTTAAGGCACAAATAAAACTGACTTCTCATTTGCATGTGAATTTTTGCATGTTAATATATTCTTTCAAACAGATTGTTTCCTAAAATTTTCTGAGGATTCCTTCCTACCACCTTATATGAAAAATTGATCAGCACCATTTATAAGGAAAAGCTTGGCTCGGCAAAGATAAATTTTAGCTTCCTACCTGTCTGAGTGATCATACATTCTAAATTAGTGGGGTATAAACTAAAAATTAATCAGATTTTTCTGTAGTGTTTTCTTTGTGGAATAAACTTCTGGTATCTCTACTGACACTGATTCAATGCCAAAGACCACATTAATGCAACATTATAGCCGAGACATCATAGTTTCAAAAATCTGAAAATTAAGGACTCCCCAAGCTTCTTATATTTTGAATTACTATACATGATATTAAATTTTGCATTATTATATCTGTTGATGGATGACTACATTATAGTTGCTGTGGGAACCATAAAATTCTATCTTTCAACCCTCTAAAGGCTCACTGATAATATTGCATTAATGGATATTTTTATTGGATTTTGAAATGAGAAAGGAGAAGGAAAAACAGTGATGCACATCAAAATATTTTTCACTGAGGAGCACTTTAATTGCACAATGAAAAAAATACATCCTCCATTCAAATTCATAGCAGCTAATCCAGATCATATGAACAAATATTTTCTTTTATGATTAATAGATATTTTAAATTTTAATTTATTGGATATAATTAAATCCTCATAAATTTAGTTTATTGAAATTGGCTGTAAAGAAGACTGATGAAAAGGACAATTTTCTTTCCTGCCAGTTTTATTTTTCAAATATTGGGCTTTAATGCTCGCTTTTAGTGAAAATTCTAAGGAATTTATGAATTAGTTTCACCTCCAGAAATCTGAGGTTTTACTTCCTTTTTCTTCATTAAGCACCTTCTTACTAAGACTCTATTAGCATAGCTCAAAACGTCTTTGATTTAGAGGCCATTTAGTATTAAGTTGGCCCTAAACTGAAGCTGTCACTCACATGTCATGACTTGAAGGGGTCTCTAAAGCTTCTTTTGCTGACCTCACAATACTGAATCATTTAGGCACTAGGTAACTTGAGTGTATGAAATCCCTCAACCAGAAACTGATTCTCTTGTGTTGAATGTTGCTCTCTCTAAACAATCTCACATGTTTCTAGCTGAAAGAGAAATAACGCTTTAACAGTCACTAACACTTTAGTGTAAACTAGCATATCAACATAGCATTACTTATCTCCAAGAATGGAAAGTTAAGGTTAGGGCTGAATAGAGGAAAGAAACAAAAGCCAACTTGGAATGAGACATCCTGAAGAAGGAGGAAGCATGCAAATAGAAGAGGTGGGGGGTGGGGGAATGTGTAGCCAAAACCATACATTCTATTTGTATAATTTTGCCTGGGTCTGTCTCTGCTCTTGTAGAAGGCAATCACCCATCTACAACTCCCATATTTTGTAGTTGCATGTGGCATTTGCTCATTTAAGAACTTTCATTGCAAGAAAAAGATAGATAACCTTATCTCAGAATCATATGGGTACCCCCATAACCTAGCACAGTGCCTGGCTCATATTAGGTGCTCAATAAATATTTGTTAACAGAACAAACCCCAAAGTTCAGTTCATTACCTATCATGTTTGCTGAACTACTTTTTATTTTTTTAACCATGGAAGCTAGTACTGATGAGAACCTTATCTTCTTTTTCTTCATCTCCAGGATGACAAGGAAATTGACCTGGAGCACCTCCATAGACGTGTAAATAGCTTGTGCACAGATGACGACAGCCCCCATAAACAGTTTTCCACCTCGTCAATTGACTTGACCCCTCTGGACATTGACACTTTGCCAACACGACAAGCACTGGAGCAGATCAGTGATTTCAGGAACACTCATATTACCACAACAACCTTTATCCCAGAGCAGATCCAGACTCTTAGCCGCACACTGTCAGCTAAAGCTGCCTCTGGTTTCGCTTTTGGCAACGTGCCTGAGCACCGAACTGGCCCTTTTAGGCACAGGGCACCTAATGGGGGCTTTTTCAGGAGTCCTATCAAAACAATGTCATCTATTCCTTATCAACCAACTCCTACCCTGGGGCTCAATCTGGGTAACGATCCAGACCGAGGCACTTCCATATGAGAATCCAACAAAATCTCTCCACTTTCTCTTGTAGGACTCCCTTTGCAAGGAGCAACTGTAAGATTGTGGGACTAACGTGGATGTAACTTTTTTTTAATCAGGATTATTAGTAACAATTCTAGTTCTTTCTGTCTACCTTCTCCCTCTTCTCTCTCCTCTGCTTCTTTCTCTCTTCTCCCCTCTCTTTCCAGACATCTCCTTCCACTTTGTTTCATTACTCAATTTGTTCCCCCAGAAGGTAGTATACTAGGATCCTATTAGACTGCTTTTCATATACTGTACTTCAAGAGTAGGAAACACACACTGAGTATGCTAGGAGTATGTGCAGGGTTAATTTTACATAAAGGCCTCTTCTGTAACATTTCTCTATTTTTAAAACTATAATTGCAATAACTTCAGTCTTTTTACATTCTTCTGCTGCATCCATAAAATGCTCCACTGCTGTCGAGTGTCCTTTGACTATGGACCAAAGGCAACCCCTGCAGTGTTTATAGAATAATTTAAAGACCATTCAGGCCACATAATATGAGAATGCAATTTTGTAGGATTACAAAAAAGCCATTAATATGCCAGTCAAGACTACAGTTAAAACCACTCTTGCACTGCAACAGTGCATATGACCTTTATGTGATTGTACAGTATTAAAAAGGTTTTTTTGCTTATGTACAGTAAACTTTATCATATGGCAGCAGCCTCTATTGTGTTAAATAAATTAGTATCTCATATATACATATATATGCACCTATATAATGTGTATATATATTCAAAGGCGGCCATTGCTATTGCAATTCATTTAATAAAGCTTTAGTTTAAAAAAAAAGTATTGTATACAGGAACTATGTATAGTGCAGGGGGTCTTTTCAGTTAGAAAAGGCAGGTTGCTTTAATGTTATTCTGACTCGCATTGTTTGCCAACAGAGAATATTTTATACTTTTGTTATTAAAACATCCAGGGCGATTTAATATTTGTTCCTAGATGTAACTCATTTGAATAGATTTCTGCATTTGTTATTCAGCAATGTATAAAGCTAACCTTGATAATTTTGCTTTTAATTAATTATCTCAATGGAAAATGTTGTTAGCTGAACCACATCCACCACAGCGCAGAGAGCTCTATCCGAGTTTAGATGTAGATCATTGGAGGTTAATAAATTCTCTTCCAAAGCAGTGAGCCAATCAATACGACTGTAGTTGGGGAGAGATGGGAGCCCTTAAGAAATATTGATGTGGCCTTAATTACTGTCATACATTATCCTAAAGAAGAAAATATAACAACCCTACTGGGCTCTCAACTTCACCCCCTTTTTTATTCAGTTCTATTTGGAGGAGTTATGTATTTTTTACATTAGTGCCAAGTGTATAGAAGGATGACAACAAAAAACAGTGCCTCTTTGTGCACAATCCTTTTAAAGTAGCATTCTTACCTTTTAGAAATGTAGAAAGAATTTTGTTTGTAATCCTTCAGTTAAAATGTGGTAAGTAGGAAGCAAGAACTTATCCTGTGTTTTTACGCAGCCATAGACTTATTTTATTCTAATTCATTCCGTGGCTAGGATTGATATAGGAATCAACCTATGTGATTTGCTTTAGGAGAAATTAAAAGGTATATTCTTAAGGTATATTATATTTTGATGCTAATTCTGTTCTGGGGAGCATCTTGTCCTGTCACTGTTTTTGTACTAAATCGTCAAATATTGTCTACTGTGTAAGGCAGAAAATTCTCTTATCATGCGAAACCATTTTGTTTCCAGGGTAACAAGTATCTAAGTGCATGCACAACTTGTTTTCCCTTGTAACATCCATGATCTCATTCACGACTCTGATTTTAAAACAAAAAATCTTTACAACAAGCTATATAGGGACATACCAGATGTTGCAGTGATTTTAGCTATCAACAAACTGTTAACCATGTACAATATTTAAAATAGGCCTATTTTGATGTATTGCCTATTATACAAATACACAAACCACTTTTTGAAGGCCTCAGTTATAAGTGACAGAGCTTTCTGTGTATAATTTGTCTAAATAATTTGTCTAATAAAAATGTTTTCTAAACTTGCTCTCCTACCATTGAAGTCTTAACTATACAATTTGAAAATGCTTACCCTCTCACAGATAGAACTGAATTTTTCTAAAAATTTACCTTGAATTAAAGCATAACACACATGAAGTTTTGCTAGCAGAACAATACCATAATGAGTGGATCTCTAGAAACAGTACCAACTGATGTTCTTAACTGATGCAAGACCATCTTTCTGCTATTAGAGACTATTTGAATCAATGATATATTTGTTTTCCTTTGTGAACATCTCTATGAGCACCTTTTTGGGAAAGATTTATCCTGTTTCATGTAAACAATGCAGCCATTATAATAATAATAGGATGAGGGTTTGTTACTTTTTTTAAAAAAAAGTTAAAGGTAATTATTAAACTTAGAATTTGTGTATTAATATTTGCTTTGCTGTTGGGGAAATATTCATTATGCTGAATCTATTAATTTGGAAATTGACTCCCACATGATTTCTAATAGTGTTATTTTCTGCATTTGAACTACAATATTTAATTCTCCTAGCATTTAATTCACTCGATGGAGATATATCTGAAAACATATTCAATTTAGCTTAAAATCTCTACTTTTCAATGATTTTTAAACGTTGGAACTAGAAGGAACTGTAGCGATCTAGGCCATCTCCCTTATTTTACAGATAAGAAAACATAAGATGCTGAGAAGCTGTGACTCGCCCCAATATTTGACAATCTGAGTCTTTTTTAAATTCTGCCGTGCTTCGGTCACACTCACGCAGATCCTAATCACTGGTGCATTTGAGGGACGGCAAGGGCACGATGACTCCACCCACTGCTCTCTCACCAAACTTGGGCTGCAGATCTCTAGAACCTTCCTTCCTCTCCGGGGACCACTTAGAACACCTGATTCACCTTCTCATTCTACAGATGGGAAAGTGAGCACCTCAAGCTGCGTCAGGTCACAGCTAGTGGCAGAACTCGGGGCATCTTGCTTCTGCCCTGGGCTACTTCCGTTAGCCCAGTGCTCACCCTGATCCTCACCACTTCCGCCAAACTTGCTATTTCAAAACACCCTACGATACACATGCTTTTATTCCACTCAGATGTCGAATTTATTTCACTGGTGAATCATTAAGAATTGGTTGTCCCTTTCAACCCCATCAGAAATTATGCACAGGGTTTTGGTTTAATTCTACATTAGAAAATTGTGAGACCTTCTTTCTTCCTTATACATAATGAACTATAGACAATGTGTCATTTTCTCAATTATGTTATTTTTCATCTCTTTTAGTTTGGTTGGTTGTCAACTGAATAAATACTTTAAAAAATAGACTTTGCTGGACGGTACTTCATCAATTAGAAAGAAAGATGAGAAAAATCAATTTATCCTACATAATACCTTTAAAGCCACAAAATTGGGTAACAAATTATAAGTATTCTATAATCAGAATTTTTGGATGGCGAAACACATTTTGAATTATGAGAATAGTAAATAAATCAGAGCTAATAACTTTTGTGCTAGTAAACATAGGTTTTATTCTTAAATATACATCTCGTGATAATTGATAAAACACAATGGGCTCACTAGAAATGGGCTTCCCTCTAGAGTGTTTTTATTTCTAAAAACGAATCCTTTATCCAGTCCTTGTGATCAGATATTAATAAATGACTAGTAATTATGACATTTTATAAAAAGCATTTCAGTTTAAAAAAAAAAATTTATTTATTTGGCTGCACCAGGTCTTAGTTGCAGCATGTGGGGATCTAGTTCCCTGACCAGGGATCAAACCTGGGCCCCCTACATTGAAAGTACAGTCTTAGCCACTGGGCCACCAGGGACGTCCCTCAGCAAATGTTAATAAACACCATCTCATGAGATAGCATCTATGAGTTCCCTTGGATGGAAATGACTTACCTAACAGAAAAATTAGAAGATAAAGCTTCTTAGATTTGATAGGTTTAATTCAATTCTATTAGTGTTGACTGAAAACCTGTTATGGAAAGCCACGGTGCCAAGCACTTACACATCACATAGATGAAGACATTTTCACGAATGGGTCTGGATGTGTTCGAGGGCATAGGCCTTTCCTTGTCCCTATTCAACATGCAGGATATGGAGGCCACCTCCTAGAGTGGCAGAAATTAGTCACCCCAAACCAGTATCTTCTCTTGGGCCTGGACAGTCCAGCTGACTGGACCAATCCATCCTGGAAGTTCTCATGTGCTGACTGAGTCTGCCATCTTAGATTCAGATTCCTTCCACAAGGAAGACTTGGAAATTTCCCAAAATGCCAGACCATGAGGCCAAATTTTCAAAAACATGAAAATCACCCTGAGACACAGGGGAACTGCTGTCTAACCCTTGCTCCTGGTCCATAGGACTCAAAGACTGATTCCTTCCCTCAGGCGTCCACATCAGAGCGGCACAGACCAGGGCGCTCATTTTCTGTCCCTGCAGATAATCCCTCGGGATGACTAGAGCACTGTAGAGTGTCCAACAACTTGCTTCAAAGGGACCAAACACAGGAAATCTTATTCAGGCTACTCTTCAACTTTCACAGATTTTTATTTGAATTGCAAATAAGGCTCCTAGTTACTGTTCCTGTCACCTAAGACACAGGATACACCGTGACCTAGGAGCCGGATGAAAGTAAAGTGTTTTACAGGCTGCCCACCCCGAGGACAGCCTCCAACCCACACACACCCCCGGGAGAACAGGAAAGACGTGGTTTTGTTGCATTTTGCAGAGCTGCACAGAGGCGCAGAGCGACTGCACCACCTAACGACTCAGCCTACCGTGGGAACAGAAACACTAAACGGGCTGCCGCTGGTTTTCTCACCTGACTTTTCCTACGTTCTTTTTTTCAATAGCTTTCCTTTGTTTCCATGGAATATCAGTAACAAAGCTAGTATTGTTCAAAGTTGCGAAATTTTTGCATATCTAAAAACTCTACCCTAACTTGCTGTCACACACC